GAGATATCCCCTTGCATCAAAAGTAAATCTTTGATTGGGATGCCAAAGGTTTTTTTTGTTTTTTGATAAAAATGGTTTGTTAGTAAGACATAAAAATAAATAAAAACGAACATAAACCATTAAATTATTTTGATGCTTATCTCTCTAAAGTCTAATTATAAATTATGGTTCCACGCCGTTTCCTGTAAACTCGCTTCTCCAAGTTACCTTCTGCTAGACAGTTATACATGATTTATAATATTCGTATCAATTTATGCAGTTTAATTCAAATTAAATGTTTCTATACCAAGTAATCTTGCTTATTACTTATCAATTCTATAATTCAGTTTTTCAATTAAAAAAATAAAAATTCTATAATTCAGTTAATATATATCTACAACATAAATTTCATCGTCCTATTCATCCAATACATATCCAATATAGTACTACATTTTTATTTTCACAAGATATATAAAATTACAGATTAGTTGATGTAAAATCTCTGTACTGTTGTTGTATCAGTATTACCATCCGACTTCAATTTTGATTAAAAAAATACATAGTTAGCAATTAAAAATAACTTAAGTGCCCAATTAGTAGGAGTGTCAAAATGGTAACCCAATACTTATAAATCCTAAAACATCTAATAAAAACATATATCTTAGGAAAAAAATCATCATTCATATTTTTTTCTTTTATCTCTTTAGTACATATTTGCTCTCTATCCTACTTTTACTCTTTCAAATCTATTCAAATAATTCTTTCCATCTTTTCTTTAATTTTTTTGTTTCTACTAAAATAAAAGCTGTTTATAAACACATGTAACATTTCTACTAAACTATTAGATACATATATAATCATAATACACTAAAAATAAGTGAAGTCTGTTTTTCATCATAAAATATAAATATTTTCATATAATATTTAAGAGTAAATATTGGCATTTCTTAGTTAGAAAGGAAGTGGATCACTTTAAAATTTCAAGTATCTATCGACTCCTACATTTATGCATTTCTCACTCACCGCCACAATTGTTTTTTTCTTTTTTCCAATAACTAAACTAATCAGAATAGAAAATTAAGTCATTTCATGTTAACTAAAATTTAACATTTTTCACCTAATTTATTTTATTTTTCAAACTGTCCAAATTTTATTTATCTAGTAAGTTCTTCTCCTTTCAAAGCCAGGTAACATTTACGTAGGTTAATCGTCTATTTAGCAACGAGACTTTATACTCCAACTTTTTCATTTCGTCTGCGTGATGGTACAAAAAAGTTACAAAAAATGACATCAATATAGAAAATGCCTAACAATAACCAAAAAATAAATCAGCATAAAAAGAAATGAAAATAATGTTGAACAAATAACTATTGATAATTATCAACTGAGAACTTCAAAATACAAAACATCAGTAGACATCGGAGATTTGAAATCTCAACTGCTATTAACATGTTCTAAAGAGATTAACAGTCTAATAAAACTTAACTGTAAAAAATGGTAGAACAAACTGAATATTAGTTTCCTACAAGAGATGCATATTTTTGTTGAATTAAGAAGAAAAATCTCGTACAAGAGAGAAACAAATCTTTGTATATTAGTTTCCTTAGAAAAAAGTTATATATATGATGTACTTGGAGTTAATTGTTGTTCAGTTAATCAAGACTTTACAATTAACAAGCTTCGTATGGAAAATGTCTACCTTTCTTGACCAGTAAGTTAAATACTAACCAGAGATTACATAAGATTTTTGTACCAAATTAGAGTTGAGAATTAGTGGCCAAAACCTTAGTAGTGGAGGGCCACTCCTACTAGTCATTCAAATTAGCAAAGATTTAGACATCAATTTTAAAATAAAAGAGGATAAGTTAATAGAAAATATCGTCTTTACAATCAATGCTTAACAACTTGTAGTAGGAGGAGATGTTGAATCAAGTT